TGTCATTAATTTATAATTTGCGCTTGATGAGTTCAATTATTGGTGTGGTCGTCACATTCTTGTATTAAACCTGAATAATGCAAATTTATCACGTTTTCACAAGCCAATCTTGTAATTTGTTTTATTTTATTCAATTAATTTGAAAGCTGTGGAGCATGTTAGTCGTCCGTGATCTTGGAGTTATTTCTGATTCCAAAATGTCGTTTGTCAATTATATTGACTTCACTGTTTATAAGGTGAATCAAATGCTTGGTTGTATTAGAAGAACCTGTTTAGGTCTCATTTCATCTCATGTTAATTCATTTACTTACTGCCAACAATTTCTTAGTAATCTTATTGCTAATTAATGGACTTGAGTCCGTATATTTTGAAATAAGTAAATAAATGAAAGTAGTTGGGGAGCGTGTCAATGAAAAAAGAGTAACTGATAAAAGGATAGTATAAAAATATTGAGTTTTATTTTGTTCAAAATAATTTTAGTTATGCATTTTTCTCACTTATAATTTTTTTCCCCTTCAGTTCCCCTGAAAAACGTATAAGTGAAGTTTTACTGTAATTCCAACATGATTTAAATTTAAATAAAAAATTTAGGATATACTAAAAAAGAATGTCTCAAGAAATTGAATTATAATGACATTAAAGAGCAATTTCACATACGAACATGTGACAGTGCTTTTTCGCACACTGCTTCATAAATGGTCAATTGCCTGAAGTGGATTTCAGCAACACAAGCAAGTTCAGCCCACTTCAGTATATAATAAAATCTTGTTCTGTAGATAATATGAAAATTAAGTTATTTGACCATATTATCCATGTTACTTAAATATTTAATTAAGATGTTGTGTTCACAACTTTAATCGTTAAAATAATATCCATGTTATATTATTTTCATCATTTTTTTTGTTTGTGTGTACTCATGTGAACATATTTAGGTACTTGTTATTCTACATAAACCCTTGCCCTAATTAATACTTAATTTAGTGATAAATAGAATTGTTGAATTATGCATAAAGTGGGTCTTACAATTACATTTTCATAGTATCATGTGATTTCTTACATTATAAACAATCATAAGGCTAAAAATTATTTTAAAAGCTCAATTCACATCCAATTAAAAAATAGTGCAGATGTCTATGACCAAATGAAAACACTTGGATAAAAGTTAAATGTTGAAGCACCCTCTATCCTGGAGTAAGGGAACTTCAGAAGTGTATAAACACAATTTATTGAATTTAACATTGTTATGATGGAAGAAATACACACGAGGAATGTCCATCGAGTACAAAATGTAGTATATCAAGTTGTTGAATCCATGGTGAACTACTACTTTTTTTTTAAATGTAGACAAAGGGACTTTCAAAGATCTAGCAATTCTCATAGATTTGAATGAGTTTGCATTTGTTTTTACATTTTATATGTTTTTAGATGTCACCTTTCAAATTGACAGGCTTTTGGATGAGATGAGTAGTGGTAGATTGACTGGATAAGAAGGGGGAAGTGTGATGATTCTTGTTGGAAAAAAATAATTGTGTAACTTGATGGTCATATTTTTATCAAATTTTTAATTTTAATAATTTAATTGAATTAATATTTTTTTGTAAGTCTCATACTTTAATTGATAATAGTTACATGAAATTATCATTGAATTCAACTTATTTGTTTAAATCACTAATTTAAAGCAATAAAACTTTTATTTCCATTTTTTTATTGGAATTATCCTCAAGGAGAGTCATAAAGCAAAAATCTGAATTTGTGACGTTTTTGGGTATTTTAACATTTGTAAATATTAAGTATTTTCTTAATAAAATGTTATGTACATTATTGCAAAATATAATAGTTTCACTTTTAAAAAAAACTCTTTTCATCTTCATTTGGCAAATTGGCAGTCCTTTTAATTACAAGTCTCTCATTTATGTTATATCTTGTACAAGAATTCTACAATACGGCTGTGGTTTTCAATAAATGCTAAGAAAAGTTCAATTCAAGTTTTGTTCGAAAGATATAATTCTGCTTGCAATTACTTAAAAGATTTCCACCAAGCTACTCCTAAAATTTTACAGCTCTATGTTGAATAATTTTGACATAATGGATCAAATGAATAACCAAATGAAAATGGGAGAGATAGGGCTTTAGGACTCTTCCCTAGTTGTCATTGTGTCAATTACAATTCAAGGTTTATTCTGGACAATTAAATATCAAATACTCAAGGTCCAAAAACCATTCTAAAGGAAGGATAGTCGTAGTTTTTCAGTGAATAATTCATAGAGTGCCATAGATATTCAATATTCCAGATTAAAATAACTTATCCTTTGAACAATTTACACATTATTTCTTGATATTGCCTGCTAAATTACTAACTGAAGCGCATGAAGATAGAATCATCTCAAATCCATGTCTAATTACTAAATGTTTTTAATTTTTTTTAAATAATTGGGAGAAATTGTACATCTATAGATCACATATATATTTTACATAAGTCTGATTAATTATAATCAAGTAGGTGTGTAACAACAGCATGTACTTTCTCACATTATGTGCAACGGTTACTTAATGTTATAATAGTACTTGAACTTTCAAAACTATTTGCTCAGGCTGCGACTCTATGATACTTAGGTTCTACAAACAATGAACTTCCACTAGACCAGCTGTCTGACTTGGTATATAAAAGCTTCTAATGCATCAACAAGAAAGAACTTTGGAAATTTTTGAAAATTTAGAGGTTTCCATAAAAATTAGACCTGTACCATTTTGTTTAGCAAACATTTTTCTTCACAAGTAAAAATACAAAGTAATGATTTGGAGCCAGTTTTGAGTAAATCTTGTGTAACATTTAAATGCCATAATTTCATTCAGTATTGCTCAAAAACTACTCACATTTTCAAAAAAATGTTCATGTGTGTATTTAAAGATCAAATTCTAAAGAACAGATATCTGTGATATATAAAGTATTCGTAACAGGGATTAAAAAAATTGAAAGACTCTGGAGAAAAAGCTATTCCACATTGGACAAAGAGTTTTACTAGAACTTTAGTTAAATAATGCCCAATGAATTATCAAAACGTTGCTGGAATTGTTTTTGCCATATATTACGGTAACTTTTTGGAATTTTGGGAACATTTAATAGAAGACATAGATTTTTGTTAAAAATATTTTTTTAAATTTGAAGAACAATTACTATTTTCAGAAGATGTATCTGATTTCAGACACACATCACTATTCCTTTTTTATTGATATCTTTCCCCAAGCCTCTTAGGCCATCAGGCCAGTCCAAATAATTTATAATAATACAATTATATGCTATAAAACCTCCTAATTAAAAGTGGACGTTTTTAATGAACCCTTCAACAGTTTGTATATCCAAGAAATACTTTATTAACATTAAAGTACTATATTTTAAAAAATGCAATTGGATGTGAAATCAGCATGTACTAATTCAACCTATAAAGCTATATTAGAACCTTGAACACTGATATCATAATTATGTCTCTTATTATTTTCTTTGTGTATATCTTAGCAAGTTAATTGGAAGTTACTTATTGAAAAACTTGAGAATATAATTTACAGTGCTCTGTTTTTAGTTTTCTAACATCACTTGTTGAATTTGTATTTTCTTTTGCAACATTTAGTGCTAACTAATTGCTGTGTTGCTAAATATTTACTATTAGACTGCTCCAAAGTGTAGTTGTTTGTTTTTTTTCTTTAAGAAGAAGTAAAACCATTAGAACGAAGCTGCGTTCGTCAAATTCGTCAACTTCGGTGCAGACCAACCATCGTTTGCTTTACACTGGCCTCTCCCTCTGATTTAAACACACACATACAGCAGCTAAGCACATTTTGTTACGGATTCGAACCGATGCATGTCATGAGTACACCCTCGTCAGGAATATACAATGCCTTAGCAATTACGCTAAATGGACATCTGACATTCAGGAATAAAAAAACGTGCTTAAATGTTTTATTTAAGATGTTTCCATCTATTGAAGAAATGAAATTTGCAAATTAGTACAATAAGGTGCAAATAGGAGTTAACCGAAATATGGTTACATATATGTAACAAGGGGCACTTGAAGGTTAAGAAATAAGAATAATTAAGAATAGATTTTCTGTTAATGTCATTCACCACTCTATTCAGAAACGACATTGTTGAGAAATCAAGCTACAAGAACATTTTGAAAAGGGGAAGGAAAAAAAAGTTTCTCATTTTAAAGAACAATACATTTATTTTAACAGGAAACAGATGTTAAAGATTCACTTGAACTAAAAAATACAACAATAACAATCTTAATTACCAACATTAAAAAAATAACAAAAAATTAAAGTTAATGAATACATAAATCTTGAAGATTTCATGTTGTAAATGAAATGTCTGTCTTCTTGAACCTTGTATCATACACATTTCATAACCATCCATGTCTACATTAGATTTTATGAATGTATTTTCAGATCATGCTAGTTCACACTGGAACCATCTAGGAATTGTTAAACCCACCTGAATGCTTTTGTCTTATACACCTTTAAACACCTCAGATTCCATAGTTGATGTATAATCAGACCCTTGAACTCATATTAGTTCGGAACTCTATAATGCTCAGTTCTTTTGTGTTTATTAGCCCTTTGTCCTTCACTCAGCAGCCACATACAATCATATCCAAGGCTTCATAGATTCATGCTTGACCTTATGTTCTGTCCGAGTAGATGATATCTAAGGAGTGAATTTTATTTTTTGACATGAAGTTGAAATAATATTTTTGTGAAGAGAAGAGATTTTTAATAATTGAATTGTTGTTCATCGTAGATTTGAACTGTATTTTAAAAAATTAAAATATGCTGTTGAGTGCATCATGGTGTATCAAACTATCAGGATGTATGTTAATGAAATAATAATTTTAATGTTAAAGTATTAGGTTGTTTAGTCCTATCTGTTATCACTATCCACTTCCTAATTATTAATGAATTCTGTAGCCTCTATAACTGATTCTGAATTCCTTTGTATGTTCTAGACAATGTGCCCTGTCTGTCTGGATCGATTGAAGAATATGATTTTCCTGTGTGGTCACGGCACATGCCAAATGTGTGGTGATAGAATGTCTGAATGTCCTATTTGTCGCAAGGCTGTTGAGAAGCGTATACTTCTTTATTAACTTTTTTTTCCTTCTTTCTTCTAATCTCAAAAAATATCCTTTGTAATTCAGTTGGATATTTTACTCTATTATTTGCCTTGAGGGACATGTGTTGCTCAAGTTGCTGTATTGAAATATTGCATTATTCATGCTGTGATCTGTTTTCAAAAGCATGTATTATATTGTTTACCTCATTCGTAGAAGAGGTGTTAACTGTGTGAAAATGTTTTTATCCTACTGTGTAACAGAAGGCCTACAATCAAGTAGATACTGAATGTTTTATAAGGCCAATAAATGAAGCACAATGAAAAATGTGTTAAAAGCAGGAATTCCTAAAAAGACTGTTGCGTTGCAATGAGTGTTGACAAAACATATTTGTTAAATCAATTTCTAAGTTAAAGCTTATTTTATAAATATATATTACAGTGTAGAAATATATTTACACATGCTCGTAAAGTCATTTACATACTTTATGCATATATTTAAAACTATATAAAGCTATGAAGTACATTTTAATTCTTGTAAATGAGATCATCAGTATGTAGAAACATATCTTTTTTATCATAATAAATAATACCCAGCATTGAATTTCTTTCAAGATTCAAAATTTAATTTTATATTTGAATATTGATATTCAGTTTATAGTTTAAGTATGTTGTAGAATTACTTCTCTTTTTCTAGAATTTTTTTCTCTCATTATTTAATGTGAAAACTCATCTGATATATTATTGCAAATAAAAGTAACAACCAAATTTATTTAGAGTAATATTATACATTCTAAATAGTGGAATATTTGTTAGTATGAGTATAACTTACTTGTACAATAATTATACAAAATGAAATTAATTCAAAATAAGTGCTTTTTACATTAAAGATATTGTTGCAAATTATGTGTTTGTGTATTTTATTTACTTCCCAAAATATATTTCCCTTTTACCCTGCTTTACTTTTAGTAATGGGGATAGATACCTAATATTCTTTTGGGATTGTTTTTATGCTTGTTGAACTACTTCATGACTTTTCTTACTCGAAAAATATTTGCTGATATTGTATTTAAAAGCTAGACTATAATTATTGATTGAAAATTTATATATAATAGCATTACATTCATAAGAAATCAATTAGTGTGTTTTTGTGAAATAAATCAAATGTAAACTCTTCTGAGGATATTTACTGCAAGAAAAATGAAATTTTAAGATTATTTGAAATTTAAAATAGTGCAAAATTAAAATACATTTAAATTTCAAATGAGCACAAATACGTTGTCCTTAAATTTCAACAAAATTACATCAAATATTGCCAATAAAATATACAATTATGTATTCAAGAGATCATTTTTGCAGACAATACTACCTAGTCTAATTGTATTTGTACATTGTGATAAACAAAAGTCTATTCATGTTTGGTCCTGTTATTTAGTTCCCAAATGTGAGGAAACAAGGTTTACTTATGCATTCCACTCTTGTATTATCAATGAGATAGTGCTCTGTAAGGGACAAGCACTCATTACATCCTGACCTAACATGTAGAAAGGCATAATTAGTGGCCAGCATATATTTCTTACTTAATCCCCCCCCCCTATTGTTTAATAAGTTTTATTCAGAGTAATTGTTTTTGTTTTGTTTTTTTCACCAAATGGATTGTTGGTGAATATCTAATGAATTAAAGATTCAATATGTAAATGTATCAAGAATGTCTACATCAACCTTTATCTAGTTGAAATACATATATTGTGTGAATCATCACAAAAAATATGAATCAAGTTTAATTTTGTCTCTTTCCATTTTGAAATAATGATCAAACTGCTCTCAATGATCACATTCATTGTGCCAGGTCTGTTCATATGTTTTTGATTCGTGTGGTAGCTCTCGGACTATGACTAATGTTTTACCAGAATTAAACTATACTGTCAAAATTTTCTTACTTTTAAAATACACATGTTTCAAGCATGGGTAAAATAATTAATTAGAAAAAGTTTGGGTAATTGAATTTTGAATTGTGATACACCAATACTTACAATTCTTTGTTCCCATGACTTTTTCTAGCTAACCTGGATGGCTGATGTGGATAAGGGTGTCTACCGACCCAGCGCTTTGATCTGAATGGTTGGAGGTTCGAATCCCACCTTGGGCATGGTTGTTAGTCCCTTGCCCATCATGTATGTGTTGTTGCGGAGGGCCTTGCATTCTGCTGACGGAGGTGTCCGCAAGTGTAATGGTGTCTAGTGTATGTTGCTGTCGTTCCCATGCACAGGATGGTTGGATAAAAATCCTAGAAAGAAGACTTTTTCTAGAGAAATTTTAAGTTTTATGGAGAAGAGCAGCTTTTTTTCAGAAATTCAGTAAATTTTAGTACACTGGGAGTTGTTTCAAATGCAGTGAGTGGGCAGATGAGTGCAAATTCCATTTTTTTTATTCCAAATTGAAAATGTTAATCATGTCAGTGAACCAAGAACTGAATTTTGTTTATGTATTAATTGAATGTCAATAAATGTGCAATCTGTTAAAGTTTTCTTCAGCTTGAACAGTCTACACTAACAGAATAATAAGTTTAATTATGAATACAGGTAGCAACATGCATCTTTGGCAAGAATTGATAAGAAAACATTTGCTCCCATATTATAAAAATTATTTACGAAGGCAAATCAACTTACTTCTGCGAGAACATGGAGAATGATTATTTGACTAACTATATTTCCCACTGAGCTCACAATGTGTCCAGTCAATCTACATTTAGGTCCAGAAGCAAAACAATGAGCCATCAATAAAGAACCTTATTAAAATATGAGACATTGATCCAGAAGCTGAGATACAATACATATTAGAGGCATATTTAGTGAAGTTAAACAATACAAATAGTAACTAACACACTAAATATAATTTTAAAATCAATATTATTTTCCTTTTTGAAGCTGCATAATTTTCATTTTGCTGCACAAAAGGTTTTTCTTCGTACTTAAAACTTCTGAATCGTTTTTAATTATTTAATGTCATCTGGCAATGTATTGAATTTAAAGTTTGAACATCAATTTTCAATTCATTGAATGAAGTAGTAAATATTTTTAAACATGGATATCAATTTTTAAACAAGTTGAAACTTTACCACAATGAACTGAGTCTACCTGCATTTGCTTATATATTTTTTATTTTTCTCTTTTCTTGAAATCTACACACTTCCAGTTGTAAATACCATACTATATTTTAACAACTATTATGCCAATGTGTTTTGGAAAAGAAAGAAACAAAACTTCATAATTACAGTTCTCCTTACTACATTTTGCGTACTTACCTTTGACGATGAAATTAAATCGTTGACTGCTAAAATATTTCATCTAAAAGTTGCTTGATCTTCATTGTATGCTATCTACTCTAAGTGGAAGAGTCAACTCTCATATGCAGTAGCTTTTCAAAATTACATAAATATGACAAATGCTTCTTTAATTCCGTCTTTACCTCACATTCTTTAACGTGTATTTCATTAATTTTCTCTGTGGTTTCTTTTTGTGACCATGATAATCCTGAGTTAAGAATGCTCTTTGTAGGAACTCGGGTAAACATTCAATACAAACATAATAGGCATTATATGCTTGGTAAATTAAACTTATAATTTCATTGTTTTAGACAGTATAGCTAGCAGTCGCACTCAAAACTGGAAAGAAATTCACATAATGTATTTCAAATTAAAATTAATTACAGGTTTGTGAAAATATTGTAAGGTAAAATAGGGAATTGAATGTCAAATGAACAAGATAAATTTATGGGTGCAAACTGCTGGTTCAAGTTCACAGCAAAAAAAAAAAAAAAAAAATATGGATAACATGTTTTCTTACTCATAGTAGAGGATTTCCGCATTTTTAAACAAAAATTATGTCAATATACAAATCAGTATTATACTGGTAACCTAATATTAATGTAGGATTGCTGTAAGGAAAACAATGGAATTCAGAACATCCATAACATTTCCGAGCAAATTGTTTATTTTTATACAACTAAATAATTTATCAAGAACACAACGAAATAGACCAAGATTAATAATATTGACACTTTCAAGATTGTCACAATGACCACTCTTTTTCTAGGATGAATTTCCCTGACTTTTGAAGGTTATCCAGGTAGTTTATTTATTTTTACATGACAAAATTTGTGAAGCAATTTCAAGGTATTAAAAAACATGAAATAAAGCAAGACTTCAATCGATATTAAAACACTGTTATGACTGAAGCCTTTTCCCACTTGCATTACAGATTCTCTTCCACAAAAATATATGGGGAATTCATGAGACTCGCTGGTTGAAATCTGAAAACTTTGCTCTGACATATTTCAAACAGTCTATTACTGATCAATCAAGTTTTTATTGATATTCATTTCACTTAACATTGAAAATGATATAAATTACAAAATTTATGTTTTCATTCGTCTCAAAGGGAGCACAAAAATATATAATTATTATTTACACAATATAAAAAACTACCCGTTATCAAAGAAATATACTACAACTAATGTAAACAGTACTTTATATTATATTTGGTTTGGTAACATGCAAAACTCTAAATACTATCACAGCCTTAATAGTTTTGCTATTGTCATTATTACTTCTAATAAAATATTATATAAAGTTTCTTGACCTTCAATTTTTAAGTTAAAAATACAAGGAAAATATTAAAAATTAAGGTTGATAACCTTGTTTTTCCAATACAAATTCTGAATAATGAAATTATCGAATTCTTGCTGGTATAAGAAGGCAAAGTAGATCGTTTTTATTTTCATCTTTCATTTCCCATTTTACTGTAACTCTGACCTGCAAAAGTTCAAGAAAAACAATTTAAATAAACAGAACGTAAACAGCCAATATACATTACTACCTAGTCACATTAGCCTTACCTTAGGATATGAATGCTTTACAAAGAAATGGGCTGAATAATTATAAACATTGCCTTTCTTCAAGGGGCACTGAATACCAGAATCTTCACAAGCATTGGGATTTGGTAGAGGGAAAGGAACTGGAAGTCCTTCAATAATTCCATGAACAAGAGCAGTCAATTCCTTTACATCTTCCACTGCAAATAAAAAAGGAATTAGTAGATAATCCCTTAACTTGCAATAAGAGTTATATACAATATTATACTGTAACTCACATGGTGTAAACTGCATCGTAATGGTAACATTTGAATTTCTTTTCAAGATGCATTCAGTATCTCCTGAACAAGAGAGTGAAACTTTGGCCAACTTTCCTTCCTTAGATCCTGAAAACAAATAATAGTCTTTGTTCACGAGCTGAAATGTAATCATTCATGCCTCTCACCTTCCGTGGTTAATATGCCAGATACTTTTTGACATTACAGGTTTTCTATAACCATTGTTATTCCCACACTATTACACTTACCACAATCTTTTACTGGAAAACCATACGACGTTGCAACAAAAATCACACCAACAATGTAATAAAACGAATGCATTATGATAAATTTAAAAAAATAACCGCGTTTCTCTATAGGGAAAATCACAAATATCAAAGTTTCAGTTTCTCTGGGATTCTTCCTCTTCCCAATGAAACGGACAGGAGCCTCAGACCTCTAGAAAATAGAACAGATTCTTCCTTGACTGATACAGAATATTAAGATGAATCACCCTCCCCTCAGCAAACGTCAAACTCCACTCGATGTGTCAGTCTGCTCACAGTCAATGTACGCAATGTACTTACGTAAACAGAATCAAGAAAACAAAGGTACAAAGTAAACCGTCTTTGTCATCGGAAAAGTTTGCTAGTTGAGCAGATAATTGAATACCGAAAGCAAACATTCCAGGGTGAACAACGTGTCAAAAAATTTAACAAACAGGTTTAATTTGAGATGTCTACAGGACATTTTACAGAGTTAAAAATTGCTATGAAGTAATAATATAAAGAGCATAATTCATCACTAAATACCTTTTTAAGATGTATCCATGTAATGGTATACATTTTATTCGTGATTTCTTTGGGTCAAATGGACATCCGTGTGTTCCAAATAGTTGGTTGTATGTCTTTCATTCTGCTATGCACAATTTCTGCCAATATATTGATATAAAATTTTGTATTCAACTTGTTGATAACGCATAATAAGAATATAAGATCAGAATGAATTCGAATGATCTTATCATAAAGATTTATAGTCAAGTAGTCTGAAATTGAGATCCAAAATTTCTCCATAAGTTGCTCACACGTACACGTGCTCTGGGTGAAATTGGATTGACTTGACAGGATCCGAAACAACCTCAAGACGTATTAGAATATCTCTTGTGATGTGATATATGATGCAATTCTTGTTTAAAGAATTGTAAAGATAAAAAATACCTTTTGAGTTACAGAATGAATCGTGCAACTACTGTTTTCGTATCGTATTTTCGCAGAAGAATTAATCGAGATGTTACAGTAATTAAAATACTGGATTCTGAATCTTATCCACCGTCCACAAACTGCATAAGAAGTTATGTGACGGAAATCAAAGGTTAGTAATATCAAACTATTAATAACTATTAATAACTCTGTTTATTATTTCAAATGCAGCATAATAACCGTATCTGCTTGTCATTTCTTTATTTTATGACAGAATCGAATTTTAAAAAGCTTGGAAATTTGCCGGGACGACCACATTATCTAGATGCTCAAGCCACAACTCCAATGGTATAAACACATTGCAGATTTGATTAATATATGTAACAAATATTCACTATAATTTACTAGCCAAATTTCATTTCAGGATCCTCGGGTTCTTGATGCAATGCTTCCATACCTTGTTTCATATTATGGAAATCCACATTCCCGGACTCATGCTTATGGTTGGGAAAGTGAGGCGGCAATGGAACATGCACGAAGTGTAAGTTTCATCGCTAAGAAGGGCAGAACAACTAATGATGTGAACAGTCAATTCACTTACAACATTGCATTGTTTTTTTTTTTTTGTTGTTCTTTTTTATTTTTCTAGCAAGTGGCAAATTTAATTGGAGCTGATCCAAAAGAAATAGTATTTACATCAGGTGCAACAGAATCGAATAATATTGCTGTGAAAGGAGTTGCACGTTTTTACAAAAGCAAGAAGAAACACATTATTACAACTCAGACAGTAAGAGTAGAAACATTTAATTTATAATGAGTTGAAGAGTACTTTTAATTTTTTTGTTATACTAATTGTTCTTCACTTCTCGTAGGAACACAAATGTGTATTAGATTCCTGTCGAGCCATGGAAGGTGAAGGGTTTGACGTCACATATTTGCCTGTAACAACTACCGGGAGAATTGATTTGAATGTTCTGAAGGAAAGTATAAGACCAGACACTTCTCTTGTTTCCATCATGACCGTTAATAATGAGATTGGAGTGAAGCAACCTATTGAGGAAATTGGTAAAAATATTGCATATTTTACAGTTGTTTGGAAAACTTTATAGTTAACTACGAAGTTGTGTAAATTCCAGTGAATGATTATCACTTGTAATTAATTTAAAATTAATGTTTGTGTGGACAATGAATTTAAAGCACCTGTCAGTTTATCATCCCTACTCGCAGTCAACAACCATGTGACATTCTCTGTTAATTGCATGAAATTAGACAATTTAATTTATAAAATAAAAACATTGACATGTGATTGTTAGTGACATCACAGATTCTTGAGATAAGTTAATTTACCACAAAAGTAAGCAGAATGACCCTTGGTGGCTCTTTGGTTAGCATGCTCATTTTCCATGGCACATCCCTGGATTCGATTCCCATCCAGGCCAAAATAATAACCATGTGCTTTCCTTGCAAATGTCCCAGTATCTATTATGGTGTGATGATGAGAAAGCCCACTCGAAGGTTATGAAGACCAGAATATAGGTGAAGGGATGTCTTGGTGCTAATCACACGAACCCCTTATCCCATGGCCGAGAGGCTGGGTCACTGCTGGTCAGCTAAGGCCCATAGCGGGCTGTCGAGCCATAGGGCAGTGAGCAGAAATTTTGCAGAGATATATTTTCTTGAAAATAAATCCTACTTCTTGGACAGAAAATGTCTTTTCTTAATGACATCAACTAGTTAAGTGACGAATGATTTGTCAAATAGAGTAACAATGTAAGAACTAGACCTTAATGAACTTGTAACTGTTGATAAGGAATAGGAAGATTTTTGTCTGAGGTCATCCATAAATCACATAATGCTAGAGGGGGTAGGAGACGGATTGAGTCTGCGGTACATAGAGATAGAGGGATCATAGTTTGATGTTACATAACATAGATCTTTTTGACGTTTGCTGAAATAATTCCTTCTATTTCCTCTTACACTATAATTAAAAATGTTTTAAATGAAAATAAATTAAAAATATGAATAAATTAAAAAGTTATGATTTATAAATTGTTACAATAAAGATAAATATTTTTTCATGAATTGTATATTGATTGAATCTGTCAATTACAAACAAAATATTCAAAACTTTTATGTAGTATCTTCTAGAATTCAATGAAGTTGAAGCATTGGTCAATATGTTGTCTGTGATGGCATGTGCACGGCTCGTCTGAAATTTTCTCAGCTACATGCCCCTTTTTCAATCAAAACTTGCCCCCAATCTTGTTAGGTGCAATCTTCATCGCCAGTTAATTTTGATTTTGGCTGAAATGTAGTATATGGTACAACCTAAGGAAGTCGTTTAAACTGGCACTTCGCTCCGCTTCGGCGAAGGGGAAATCGACGGTGGAGGGGTCAAGGGGTGTTTGGGGATTATGAGGGGAATCTTTCGGGGGGAGGAGTGATGAGCATTATGCTTAGTACATATACATAAAAAGCAAAGCGTGGGCCATTTAAATACATTGTAAAAAATACACTTCTGAAATAGTTTTAATGGTTCGTAATTGGTCCCAAACGTGATGTCAAAAGTTAGGAGGGGAGGGCAATTTCACCGTAGTATCTCGTCGGATCTTCATTACTTGGTGGTATGTAGCGTTGTAGTGATTTTTTTTTGGTGTCGGGGTAGCTGTCGAAGTGGTTAGCTACGTTGCTGTCGTACAGATACATTTCTTGCGTTCTTCAGATTTCGTGATTTGTGTTTTTGAATGTCGAGCGTCTGTGCTACGATGGTGAGAATAATTGTGTTTTTTTACACGTTGCGCTGAAGGGGGTGTTTGGCTGTTATTGAGTGTGATGGTTTCGAGTGGAAGTGAAGCAAGAAGGGGCCACTCCTCATGTGCGAAAGTGTTCAGTGCGGAAGGGGTCATGGTTGGCGGGAAGCAAGTTGAGTATGTTTCAGGTATTAGTAATGACCTATCTTTGGGTCATGAAAGTACAGTGTGAATTTATTATGAATGAACTGAATTGGAATGAAATGAATGAGCAATTGAACCGTGACTGACTGGATGAGTTTTTGTCATGAGGTATGCGGCTGATAGAACCCATTGGAGGCGCTGGTGTGGAAGTGGAAATAGATGAGAGCATGTTTGGTTGCCGAAAGTACCATTGTGGCAAGAGAGTGGTTGGGAAATGGGTGTTTGAGGGTGTCGAACGAAAGACGAAGCGCGCCTTTTCCAAGATCGTTAAAACACGCAGCAGAGAGGAGCTTGTGGGCGTTATTAAGTCTTTCATCAAGCCGGGGTCCATCGTGTTCTCGGACTGTTGGAAGTCTTATAACTGCTTAGAAAATGAGGGTTTTCAGCATTTTGCTGTAAAAAACTGTGTGTTTTAGAGACCCTGAAACTGGTGCGCACACAAATCATATAGAAGGAACGTGGATCGCAATGAAGCATAGCCGCGCAGCTGGCCAGTTCGACAGCTACCTGGCAGAATATGTTTAGAGACGCCTTCAAGGGGGCAGGCCAACTGAGAGGTTTTTGTCGCTCCTTGAGGGCACCTCCAAACTCTACGAGCCCTAACAATCGCTAATCGGTAAATTTTATTCATTTCTATCAGGAGACTCCCCTTGACCCCTCCCCTCCCCCCACGCCGCCCGCTTCTCTAAGGGTGTACCATGTACCCAACGTTAACCCTGATTTTAATTATCAGAAAGTTTTATATACAACACAAGATTAATACAACTTGTTCACACGCTTTATAATTTAGTTTTACTTGGGGGGAATAATGAATTGCATGTTTCAGGATAGAGAAGGGGTATTCAAAATTCTTCAAATTTGTTTTATGCAATTTACAGATGACCTCTGAGCAGCAAGGAGGATTATCAGCGGTATTTCCTGAATTGTAAAATTGACATTGGAAACAACATTTTGATAAATATGATAATGGTATAGGAGGTTAACAATATATTTAATTTAGATAGACGTTTGTAAAGGTATTAATTGATTTGTTTTTCTAGTCTAAACAAAGAAAAAAAAAAAATACAACGTTCTCTTCGGTGATCTGGGCTGTCCGGGTGACGCCGCGTCGAAGGCTGTTTTGCTGACGTGTCTAAGGCTGTTTTGTCTTCCTTAGGACTGGTATGCCCTGTCATGGGCTGAGGAAGACCACGACAGGATGGTCGAAACTTCGGCAACACAGCCTTCGATGCAGCGTCACCTGGACAGCCCAGATCACCCATATGACTGGCCGCGGAAGCCTATGTTTTCAACATTCTCTTCCCTACCAGATGTTGTCAATTTGCCTGATGTGATAAATGTTGGCAATTTTGCTAAGATAAAAGTAAAAGGCCTACTGCTCTGATCAGTTTTCCATAGGTTCAGTGGTGTCGTCCTAGTGTGTGTTGCAGCAACACCCTAGAATATGGACCACAGATTGCATGCAATTTTCCGTCCCTGTTTTTGGTTCCTATCTGCAGGACTGAGCAATGAGTAGATCACATATCCCTGTGTGGCCCATCCTGATAAGGGAATCTCCGAGAAGCATTGGAGGCAGTCATGGTCTGATGCAGGCTGTAGAACCAGAAAAGAAGAAGAAATTTGGTACTCTATCAAATTAGTACGAAGGGAAACTAATGGTGCTAAAACTTCATACTTTCTCACATTTTTGGATGCAGCTTCATAATATTGAAGTATTGTATTTTCTGCGCTACTAACACCTCAGCCAATACTTCAAAATGTCCAATTGAAAAACATAGCGACTGTGATGCATATCTACATTCATTTCAATAGTCAGGAGCAACAATCATTTCTTACTTTGACAAATGATACAAACAGGAATACATTTGACTGCTTCCATATTCTCAACAAATTATACAGAAGAGAGCAACGTACTGTTGTCAGCGCAGCATTGTCAAAATTATATGCATTCACTTGGCGAATAATAATTCATTGCCAAAATAATCATTTCCATCTGAATTCAGATTACAACTTTTTTGTCGGTTAGTCATAGTACATCATACACAGTTAATACATGTCTCTAATTCTAATCGATAAGAGTTTTGACAAGCAAATTTATAGTTACAGCTGGGATCTGTCTAGAGCCCAGCATTTACAGCTGGGATATAAGCTTTAGAATGAGAAAACACAATTGCTAAGTTGTTTTGCACATTGCCTCTAAAGTAACAACGTAATGACGATAACAAAACAATAAGTTTTACATATTTGATACTTGGCAATTCACAACGATATGATTAGAATATTTTTTTTCTTTTTTTACAAGAATGTTTGGCAATTTTTTATTAGCTTGTAGTGTTTGTGAAAATTATGGATTTTTTTAGACTAATTGTACAGATTTAAAGTAGTAAAGCGTCTCTTTTTTCAGGGGCTATTTGTAAACAAAGAAAGATTTTCTTCCATACTGATGCAGCCCAAGCAGTTGGAAAGATTCCTTTGGATGTGCACAAGATGAACATTGATCTCATGTCCATTAGTGGTCACAAGATTTATGGTCCAAAAGGTAATGTGTGTCTGCTTGAGTCACAGTAAAGCTAGTGTATTATAGCAATGCACTTCGGGTGTTTTTTTTTCTTTCCGTCACTTAATTAATATCTCTTTCCCCAGTGTATCATTTTGCTTTTCACTGTTTTGTCTAGAATTTTCTTTTCTATTAATTTTCAATAAACGTAAAATTAAAAATAAAATTTATATGAAGGAAGACTATTTTCAAATTCCTCCTTAGGTTGTACTCTGTTCTAGACTAGACTAGACAAGGTTTTTTATTATTTCCCTTTTCAGTTATCCTCTTAACTTTCCTTCTTTTTTGGTGAAGAATTTTGCCATCAAAATGATTAATAGAATAATATGATAATGTTTGTGTGGCCAAAGTAATTTTCTTTTGTTTTCCAATTTATATCTGATGACAGAGTTCTTTTCCCTTACTTTTTCCAAAACAGTCTTTTTTCCCCCCTTTTCAAACCAGGCCATTTGCGATATTCTTCTCTACTGTCACATTTCAGAAGCTTCCAGTTGGTTTGTATCCTCCTGAAGTAAGAGGACCTGGTCTTACATAAAATTGAGTTCTTGATACATTTCTATCATTCTGTGAGTACTAATTGTATTTAACTGTGTAATGATCAGGAATTTATAAAATACTTTCCTTGGCAGGAATCGGTGCTTTGTATGTTCGTCGTCGACCTCGTGTACGAGTTGAACCTGTACAGAGTGGGGGTGGACAGGAAAGAGGCATGCGCAGTGGGACTGTGCCTACCCCTCTGGTTGTTGGGCTGGGAGCTGCATGTGAAATTGCGATGCATGAAATGGATGTAATTATCTACATTGTTTGCTCCTTGTTTTATAGTTGTTTGTTTATGGGAAATTGCTGACTTGCCTACATTGTATTCACACGTGTTTTCTTTTCAGTATGATCACAAGTGGATGGAAAAATTATCCCAACATCTTTTAGATAAAATTACTTCTCGATTGCCCAATGTGATAAGAAATGGTGATCCTGTACATTCATATCCTGGATGCATCAATTTATCATTTGCTTATGTAGAAGGTATTTATAAATGTTTATCTATAAGCAACTTAACAGCACTAAAATAGTGTTCTGGAAAGCAAGGAAACTGAAGTTGGACGCAATATTAATTTGCATAACATGGAATTTCTTCTAATGTACAAAATATTGTAGTACCAAATTCTTCAACATGGTGGGAAACTTCTTGAAATACTTTGTGAAAATTAATTCTTCAGTTCATAGCATAAATGTGCATGAAATATAATTCCTATTTGCATGTGAGGAAATCATTGTTCTGTCTTTTGAGGGCAGCAGTCTGTAATTCTCTGGCAATTTGTTTATAAAGAAACTGCAGTAAATCTATATTTCTAAGTTTGTTGATAAAAGTATCCAAACTACCTTAATTGTGTTGTTTCTGGAGAATATACATTATTTTAATTAAAAAGCTTTTAAAAATTAATAAAACTAAGTAGGTATATTTTATGTAAGATCAATCTGAAATAACTAGGAGGTTAAATGTATTCTCTTTTCATCTTTTTCTCCTCTGTGTCAAAGTTTGTGCATGTTTTGTGAATGCAGTACTATCCATTGGTTTTAATATTGATGAAAAATTACAAATTTTGCAAGTATCATTTACTTGTCATTACAAAATTAATTTGATTGGTAGATAAAACATTTTAATTGATTCTTTGAATTGTAGGTGAGTCATTGCTGATGGCTTTGAAAGACATTGCCCTTTCCAGTGGAAGTGCCTGCACTTCTGCTTCATTGGAGCCTTCATATGTTTTGCGGGCAATTGGAACTGATGAGGATCTAGCCCATTCCTCAATCCGTTTTGGATTTAGTCGTTTCACTACAATGGAGGAAGTGGATTACACTGCGGAAAGAACCATCAAAGATGTTGAAAGACTGAGGGAAATGAGGTAATGTTGCAAATCTATTAAATTTATTAATGGTGAATTAGTCTATATTGAAAGATACTAATATGATGATAGGTTTGATGATGGTAACATGTCCGATATGATGATAGCTTTGTCCTGCCCAGTCTGAGTTCAACACTTGGACCATGCATTGTTAATGATCATTCATGTGCACACAGGATGTCCTTAAAGATGAAACTGTGATTCTGCACTAAACAAATGTAGAGGAAAAAAACTTCACTAAGATCCTCCTAAGACTGTTGACCTTCGCCTCTTTTGAAATGTGGTTGTTAAAAAGTAATTTGTATATGACCATGTTAATGTTTGTTGTCTTTTTTTGCCTTCCAGTCCTCTGTGGGAAATGGTGCAGGAAGGAGTAGATATCAAGGCAATCAAGTGGTCACAGCACTGAATCTCAAATTTGCAGTCTGCTTTTGACAAATGTCACAAGTTTTGTGCATCAAACCTATTTCATTTAAATATGTTATATGTTGGTGCAGGCACATAGATCAAGATGTTTTTGAGCCTTTCAGTTTAAAGTTAATTTACAAGTAATTACATAACCATATCATATCTTGTTGATTTTTCTGAACTCCTTGAATATTTATGTAAAGAGCAATGTATAGAGAATGTAAATAAGTGTTACATAATTGCCATATTATGAATAAAAATGTAATGTATTCAATTTTCCATTCCAACAAAGTTCATTTTTCTACCTTGGGAAGCCAAGTAGTAGGACTGACTCTGATTCCCAAGTCAACTTTTGTGATGATCAAATTGTTCTTCTGGGTTCATTTACAATGGAATTGTATCTTCGTTTGCATTTCTTCAGTGGTGAACTGCACATTGTGTGGAACATATTTCATCTTGATTTTGGCTTGCTATAAATTGTCAGGTGTAGCGTTCAGCCAACTTAGAAGACTTTTATAAGGAAGTTTTCATTTATGCAGATATAAAATGTATTTTCATTTGTTGACTTATAGCTAATATTGATCTTGGTAGCAAACAGTTTAATTTCTTTCTGAAATGTTTTGGAAAATGTTAGTAATTGGGCTTTGTGTCATGACTGAGTTTCTAGCAATTTAGCTTTAGTAGTGGGGAGATTTGTGAAGTGATGATTGAAATATTTGAAGTAAATACATAGTAACTTGTGGCATAGTTAATAAAAAACCCTACAAAAATATTTTGGTTTAGTTGCAGTTCGAGATGAATTAGTTGCACTATGAGATCAGATTACTTTCTTTGGGTTATTTGAAGTGGTTACTAAATCTGCATAAATAAAATTGTGGTGTGTGTGTGATTTCTTAATAAATGCATTTTTAAATTTTTTTATTATAGGATTATTTAAATGATATAAAAACAATTCAATTCTTTCTTAAGAATGGGAATGGCTGAACCAATTTCGATGTGGTTTAATATTTTGAATAGTATATTGGCTGAAAGATAGTATTTTTTGTCAAAGATAACTTGAGCAATTTTTTTCAAAATATTTTGTCTTTCGTAAAGGTTCGTTTAAATGGAGCAAGGTGATCACTGATACTTGGCACTCGGCAAGGTGATCACTGGCATTTGGCATTGATATTTGGCACTCATCCTCTATTGTTGGAATTCTATGAGCGGTCACTCGGTACTAGCTGAATGTATGGAGCATCTTTAGAACATTTTAGTGTACACTCTTTCTGTTTTCTGCAAATGTCTCAAAAGCAGTGAGTAAATTCACCAAAATGAATTAAATGTTCCCTGAAAGATCATAAATTTCTTACTAAACGTGTTCCAATAATGCAATTAGGTTCAAAAATAATCGAAGGCCAAAATTGGTATTGAACATTTGCTGGGAGTATGCAAAAATGCATGTTTACAGCTACCCATAGCAATGATGATCATGGCAAACGTGAAGGTAGGATGGGGAGGGATAGACAGGCCAGGTGAGGCAGAATGATTGTTATTAGAGATCAGATAAATATGTGATTGATTGCATGTTTTTTCTTCTCAGTTGTAGAAGTCTGGAATGGAAGTCACTAGATGCTAATTTCAAAGTTCTATTTTACATATTTGAGCTATGCTGTATAATATAGCATATGTCAGGGTTATGCTAAGTTGTTTTTTTTTTATTTATTTTATTTTATGTCAAAACTGATAGAAACTGCTACGAGGAGATGTGTATTCTGTGCATCTTTTCATAATTCTGGGCTCCCTACCTAAGCAATTTACAAGTTGAATTTTGAAAAACAGAAAAGGAACTTGAATGTTTTGGCAAACAAAAATTCACTCCGATGTAATAAAATCAATTTCTAAGGGCAAATCACCTATAGATTGGGCTCTTGGTTCCTCATCATGTCCACAGAAGGAAATATACTTTCTTGCCGCCAAGGACATAAGAACAATAATTTTGAATAACTGTCACTTGCTCTATATAGTCTCTGAAATAATACTAACTAAGACATATTTTAATATAACAGTACAATATACCCTTGAGAAACATACAAATTTATTGTTAATTAAGTTTGTTACCAAACAGAGGGGGTACACCCAGGATTCAATCATATAGCATATCAAAGTAATTAGTTAATTTCTCAAAAGCAGTTCACATTCTGCATGTCTCTGAACACGCTGAGTAAAATGGATAAGCGCATAACCAGCAAAAAACGTAATAGAATGCCCTAAGAAGATCTCATCCACTAGGTTACAGCATGAGGAATGTTGGAGGCCTTCAAATTCAGGTTTTTAAGATCTAGAACCCTTTGTTTTTGGTGATTTAATACTATATTTCAATAATGCTGATCAAAAATATGTTTTTTCCACATCCTTTGTAATTTATTAATTTATTATTTATTTTAAGTCCAATCGTCACATCTCAATGGGAATCCTCTTTCTTAGAAACCTTAATTTAATAAATATTGGTTGCATGTGAAGTTTCAAAATTCAATTTTAACTAAATTGAATAATATTTGGAGAGGATAAAATGCCGAGCATGCAAGGTAACTTTTTCTCCTTATAATAATAGTTGAACCTGCAAACTATTTGGCCTCCGGGCTGGGATCGAACGTGAGTGCTTTAGGCCCCACAATCAAAATTGTCTATTCTACACTGCAAGTGGGGGCTGATGAAATTTTGTTGAACGTTCCTGATTGCATAAAAATTAGTTAACTCTACATATTTTCGGTCTTTTACCGTAATATTCTGACCTCCATATAACTAAGTGAACATTCGCCCAAATTCAAGCAAAAAAAGTAGAGAAAAAATAGATGTATTTTATGGAGTACTGCTTCAGCGCTTCGGTCCGAAGGGTTTCGAGTCCCACCTTGGGCATGCTTGTATGTCCCTTGGCCTTTCATGTTGTCGCGAGGGGCCTCGCTTCTCCCTAAACCCCAGATCCGAGCCTGCAAATGTTTCTTATAGTGGCCGAAGGATAACATTAGGTTATTGTTACACCTGCCTTACGAAATGAATCTTTTTACTGTGAACACGAGCCGCCGTTGAGAAGCAACGTTCGCGAGTTAATTAAAAATTTCACGTAGTATATAAATGTAATCGGAAAGGAGAGAGAAAGTGGCGTCAGAGGGCAGGGCAGTGCCGTCGTTGTCGGCGCCTTGCCTCGTAGTCTGCAGGTCGCACGGACGCTTGTCCGCCGGCAGTCGAGTCGATCGCCCGCGCGGAAGGACGAGGGCGAGGGGATGCGGGCGGGCGCGCGCGGGCGGCGAGTGGCGGCGGTGCGCCGCGCCCTCCTGCTCCTGCTGCTGCCCCGCCCCCGCCTCTGCCGCGGCCCCGGCGGGCAGCCGGCGCGGGACTCTCGGGTGAGTCCCCTCAAGCAACACCGTGCATCGTGGGTGAGCACGGCCTGCTCGCCGATCACGTCGCGTGGAGGGTCGAACTATATGCATTCTGGGGTTTTGATGGGTATTTGGCAGGACTGCCAACTTTTAAATCGACAATGTTTTGAGCCCGACCCGCGATTTTTAAATTGTCGGATACGCGAAACTCTCATTAGGACCGGTATTTCCTTATTTCTTCGTTACGGTAGATTTTGAGCTTATGAGTTAGTACTTTACTGCACGTTTACATAATTATTTCGCAACAATATCTACCTAATTATATATTTATAAGTATTTACAAAGTAATGCGACCGATGTGTTTAAATTCATTACAAATATAAGTGCTTTATCAGCATAAGACTTTCAGCATAGGTCTCATCAACTAAAAAAACTACATCGAAATACAATTAGTTGTTTAAAAAAGTGTGATACCAGCCAGTACTCTATTTAATAAATGGAACGGTCTTTGATTTGTCATTGAAGCGTTTTATGTGAAAATTCTTGAAAATAGTTATTTTTTAAACTATTGCTTCTGTTTCGAGTATGTAAATAGATTTTTGCCTTTTCCAAGTAATTCCTAAATTCTTGAATTTCTTTTAAATGACTTAAAACTAAAAAATCGAGTTACCCCAAATTTACTGTCTTAAAACACAAACTGATGCCACTGAAAGCAGTAATGTAACAAAAAAGAAAATAAGTTGCTTCATTTTAAAATTTACATTACCTCAGTGACGAGTATGCATTGAAACTACCTCATAACTTTAATTTGAACACTTACAATAACATTTAGTAAGTGACAATAACATTTATTTAAATAATTTTATGTGGATTTGCTGAGCATAAAACGAGAGGGACCTGACTAGTACATTTCTAGGCCCCTCTTGATCCTCCTTTTCGATTAAACATTTTTATTTACATATGACATTTACTAGTAAATAAATAAAACATTCAAGGAGAATGAATTTATAACTTTCATGATAAATTAATAAATACGATTGATTTTATGTCAAGTTATTTAAGGGTTGCTGCTCATGGATGGTTTGGAGAGCCTCATCCTTAAATGTCGAGTATCATTTCCTCAAATTGTCAGGTTATAAAGGAAGGGTAATAAGGGATTGAACATATTTACATAAATAATAAATTATAGTATGCAGGGCTTCTGAGTTCCTTTCGAAAGTATGAGGGTATCACGCCGCCTCACCTCCGTGAGCACGTGATGATTGTATGTGTTTTTTTAAATTGTTTCCTATGTAGAATTGTATAAATATCTGTTACAATGCCTTTTCTCTTTCGGATCTTTTTTGAAGACGACCAACTGATACTGCCGGTTTTGCACAGTGCTTAGGCGTTGTGGAAACATATGTGTTGGAGTTAATTGTTCAGAAATTTACTAGGTTTCCTACCTCATTGAACATCTCCTACCAGATGTGGAATTGGAAAAATGGGGCGTCCGCTGCCAAAGAGAACCGGATCCTTCCGTGTGATATTCCATCCCAGGATTTGGATATTCACTTCTTTACTAACAATGACAACTGTTGTTCGAGTGGTCTTTTCAATGATGTCGTCGCGATCTTGGAATATAAATCACTGCCGTTTAGGTGTCTCAACCCTGTGGACGAAGAATCTCGAACGAGTTGGGGATCGTTCGCCCAGAATTCTGATTATTAAAGTTATAATTATCTTAGTTATCTGTGAGGCGGTCCCCGATTCGATTTCCGTCCGGGGCAAAAATGAGGTTATAGCTTTCCAATACAAATCGTCTCAGTTTCTTTAGCCGCATGACGAAAGAGAAAGCTCAAGCTGGCCAAGTATGCTATTTACGGTGAAGGGAATGCACCACGTTCGTCACATGTCTCCTTTATCCCACAGCGTGGGGGATAATAAATAAAAACAGGGCCCACGCCTGAGAACACCGCTAGCTTGCAAAAGTAGCATTAATCCGCAATATCCGCGAAACGTTTTTCATTAGAGCCTGAACTAGTTTAAACTTATTTCATTAAAAAATTGGGTCGGTAAGGGCGCATTTTATTCTTACTATCTTGAAGAACTGAGATTTTACTTTCATTTAAAGTATTTTAGAGGCTACTTCACAGTGGTCGAGCTAAAGAACATACTATGTTAATTGAAATAAGAAGAAGAAGAAGGAGGAGGAGAAGAAGAAAACAAAACAAACCATTTTGGGTAGAATTTCAGAACACGGAAATGTATTAGGTTTCTGAAAAAGGTTTCCTCGAAATTCTGGTCGATCAAAATTGTTGATACCAAAACATGTACACGTGTCTCGGAATACATGTAGCAAACGTATAGGGGATGTAGAGGGATTTAAAACCACTTTTTCCGATGAACCTGTGGTCGGAAATGTCAAATAATTACGATAAAATGTACCCGCCCCCATTGTTAGACTCATCATGCACCGATATTCAGAAGATTCACAAATATCTCTTTGCATTAGAACGTGACCTGTCGAACACATACGAATGGCGAGTTACCTAACTGTCAGAGGCAAATGTCATACGTGTAACTTCGTTTTATGA